GCCAAGATCTGCACCCACATGCCAGGGGCAAACCCTGAAACCACCTATATACTTAAAGGCTATTTTCAACAAGGACTCGCAGGCAGCCTAAACCCAACCCAGGCTTACACCACCCAGCTTCTGGGGCAACCCAGGAGGCCAAAACCCTGCTGGAAACAAGAAGCTCAAGACACTGTGTATCAGACATTAGGGGTTTCCCCCCTCACCCAAAAAACCCCAGGGCAAACAATGCTCACCACCCCTCCCCACACACTCTAACCACACCCACCTTTAAGCATTGTTTTCCTTCATCTTACACCAGCACGGCACAGAACTCCCTGCATCCCTCTTCCCCCACAAGATACATACAGGCTTCTGGAAAAGGAACAGAAACCTTGTCAGCCCAAAGTGGGGATGCAAGGGCACAAAGTCAGAGACAGGGAAAGCTCCTCTCCCACCCTCCAGCACACACATCCAGTCCCGCTACTCACTAGCCGAGCTCTCAAAGGCTTGTCTGCGGCCTCCCGGAGCTGGATAGTCACAGGCGCTCAAAACGTGAAGCATCACAGTACCCACTGTACACACAGCATGACCTGCAAAGATACACACACAACAGCTCCTGGAAACATGAAAGAACAAGTGTGGAACAAGTGGTCAGACAGGAAGACAAAGACATCACACCGCTCCAAGGAAAATCAAACCCACCGCAAGCTCCAGACAGGTGACGTCACAGGGGCAGAGGCCTCACACCACACGAACTGGGAAGTCACGAGACAGGTGCCCATTTCCTCCTCCGCGATCTCTGCGGCTCTTCACCTCGTCTTCAGTGCCTGAAGCCTTGGCAAAGTGGCTTCTGTGCACACAGACACAGACAAAACACAGGAAGACACTTGCCACTGTTAACAACTCAGAGGCCTCACGGCACTGCAGACAGCAGACCGCCCCTGCCAAGACCCCACAGGCAACTTTTACTTTTTTTAACCCCCCGCCCATAGCTGGGAGGGTGCAGGCAGAGCCCTCTCCGGGCTCTCCCCTTGCAAGCAAGGGAAGCAATTTAGATGTGCAAACACAGGTCTCCTGCCAGTTCTGGGAAGAGCAAAGAAAGGCTGCAGTGACTTGGAGGACAACAAGACAAACAGAAATGCATACAGACACAGGACAAGCCCTTCCCGGCACCAGGGGAAGGGCCTGTGGCAAGACAAGCAGCTAGGCAGAGAGACACACCATCTTCTGGCCCAGCAAACGCTGGACAGGGTCAGGCAAAGGGTTAGGGTTATGGAATGGGTGCACATATCAATCATAGTCCAGGTTAGGGTTAGGCTGAGTGTTAGGGTTAGGGAACAGGTCTGCAAAGGACTCTGGTCCTGGGTTAGGGTTAGGGAACGGGTGTACAAGTGGATTGGGGTCCAGTTTAGGGTTAGGCAAAGGTGGGGTTAGGGAACGGGTGTACAAATGGATTGGGGTCCAGGTTAGGGTTAGGCAAAGGGTTAGGGTTAAGGAACAGGTCCACAATGAAATCCAGGTCTGGGTTAGGGTTAGGCAAAGGGTTAGTGTTAGGGAATGGATTTGAAGAGGAATCTGGGCCTGGGTTAGGGAACGGTTCCATCAATGGATTAGGGACCAGGTTAGGGAAAGGGTTAGGGAACAATTCTAGATGTGGATTGGGGTCCGGGTTAGAGTTGGGCAAAGGGTTAGGATCAGGGAACGGGTCCACAAATAGACTGGGGTCCGGGGTAGGGATAGGCAAAGGGTTAGGGAACGGGTCCACAAGCGGATCGGGGTCCAGGTTAGGGTTAGGCACAGGGTTAAGGTTAGGGAATGGGTCCACATGCGGATCAGGGTCCAGGTTGGGGTTAGGCACAGGGTTAGCGTTAGGGAATGGGTGCACAAGTGGATCGGGGTCCGGGTTAGGGTTAGGCACAGAGTTAGGGTTACGGAACGGGTGCACGAGTGGATAGGGGTCCGGGTTAGGGTTAGGCACAGGGCCAGGTTTAGGGAATGGGTCCACGAGAGGATCGGGGTCCAGATTAGGGTTAGGCACAGGTTTATGGTTAGGGAACAGGTCCACAAGTGGATCGGGGTCCAGGTTAGGGTTAGGCACAGGGTTAGGGTTAGGGAATGGGTCCACAAGACGATCGGGTTCCGGGTTAGGGTTACGCACAGGGTTAACGTTAGGGAATGGGTGCACTAGTGGATGGGGGTCCGGGTTAGGGTTAGGCACAGTGTTAGGGTTAGGGAACGGGTCCACAAGAGTATCAAGGTCCGGGTTAGCGTTAGGCACAGGGCTAGGGTTAGAGAACAGGTGCACAAGTGGATGGGGGTCCGGGTTAGGGTTAGGCACAGGGTGAGGATTAGGGAAGAGGTGCACGAGTAGATCGGGGGCTGGGTTAGGGTTAGGCACAGGGTTAGGGTTAGGGAAGAGGTCCAGAACAGGATCGGGGTCTGGGTAAGGGTTAGGGACAGGGATCGGGTTAGGGAACAGGTCCACAAGAGGATCGGGGTCTGGGTTAGGCACAGGGTTATGGTTAGGGAACTGTTCCACAAGAGGATCGGGGTTCGTGTTAGGCACAGTGTTAGGATTAGGGAACGGGTGCACAAGGGGATCGGGGTCCGGGTTGGGGAGAGGGTTAGTGTTAGGGAACGGATCCACAAGCAGATCGGTGTCCGGATTATCGTTAGGCAAAGGGTTAGGTTTAGGGAACAGTTCCACAAGCAGATGGGGGTCCGGGTTAGGGTTAGGCAAAGGGTTAGGGAATGGTTCTACAAACGGATCGGTGTCCAGGCTAGGGTTAGGCAAAGGGTTAGGGTTAGGGAACGGTTCTACAAGCAGATCGGGGTCCGGGTTAGGGTTAGGGAAAGGGTTAGGGAACAGTTTGACAAGTGGATCGGGGTCCGCTTTAGGGTTAGGCAAAGGGTTAGGGTTAGGTAACGGTGCCAGAAGCAGATGGAGGTCGAGGTTGGGGTTAGGCAAAGGGTTAGGGAACGGTTGTACAAGCGGGTTAAGGTCTGGGTTAGGGAAGGGTTTAGGGTTAGGGAACGGGTCCACAAGCGGATTGGGGTCCGGGTTAGGGTTAGGCGAAGGGTTAGTGTTAGGGAACAGGTCCACAAGAGGATTCCAGATTTGAAATGGAAAAGAAGCTGAAGTCTCGCCAAGAAAGATACCACCACACACAGAGGCACAAAGAGGAAAAGCTCCACTCACCTCTACGCTTGGCCTCTCTACTGCAGGACAGCAGCTTAGCACCCCACTAAGTCCCTTGGACTTAGGCTGCATTTTGCCTGGGTTTGCTCCTAAAAAACACTGAATGTAGTGGATACACGTCTGTGCAATGTCAGTTTTCCAGGGTAAGTACGCAATGAATAACACCATCACTTGAACTCCCTGTTCTTAGTATACTACTATTTTATGCCAAGGGTCCCAAACTCTCCCCTAGAACTGAAGAGATGTCCTGCGGTGCTTCCTGCACAATAACGTGTTTTAATTGTTTTTCTCGTTAAAAAAGGGAAATCTGGCAGTCTGAAACCTCTCTAGAGAGTCAGCCGAGAAGCAAACAGTCCTTCCTTCTGGCGCCCCCGTAGACCGCCGCCCATCACATGGCGGAGACGGGGAGGGTCCCCAGGCGGCGGGCGGAGAGGAAAGGGGCACCGGGACACACAAACAGCTTGGCGCTTCAACACCCAGCGCAGAAGAAAGCCCGACAGGCCCCGCGCACGGGGGTACCTACCCAGTCCCCCGCACGACCCGCCGTGGTGGCCACAGCAGCGCCCCCCGCCTCCCCCCCGCGGGTGGAGCCGGCAGCGGGACGAGGGCTCCGGGCTCAGCTGACTGACAACCAGCTGAGCGCGGCCCGTGCGCATCAGAGCCCGACCAATGGGCACACTCACCATTCCTTACACCCAATCAGAATGTGAACAAGTAGGCCGGGCTCCTGGGCCCGCCTCCCCCGGCACAAGCCAATCAGAGCGAAGGAGACCAGAGGGGCCGTAACCCCGCCCAAGCGACCATTCCACCCAATCGCCTCACGCCTCATAGCGCCCAATAGGAACACGAGCCTCCGATCCCGGCCGTGCTACGCTCCCCGGCCATGAATCAGTGCTCGCGCGTCTTGTGTCCGCCCCGAGCGCCGCGAACCCGCCTGCGGGCACTGCCCGAGTTACCCCCGAGCGAGCGAGGCCTTTGTTCTCCTTCTCTCTCTGCCTTTGTTCTCCTTGTCTCTCTGCCTTGATCTCCCGCCTGCCCGAGCTGCAGGCGCGGGGCCCGGAGCCGCTGTCCCTCTTCCCTGCCCTCATCTCTCATCGTAGGGCAGTAGCACAGGGCAGGGGTTTCTTTTCTCTGCCTTTAAAAACCGGCTGCTCCGCGCAGGGACGGTGGGACGGAGCCGGTTTAGTTCCGGATCGGTATCTCCGGGCTCCAAGCCCCGCTCCGGCCCCAAGCGGGCAGCGCGGAGCCGGCTTGGGAGCCCGCCCGGGCCTCCTCGCCGCAATGCGCGGCGCGGCCACAGGAGGGCGGCTCTGAGCAGGGCTTTGTCTCCGCCTTCACGGGCTGCTGCAATGCCGGACGGGACCACCGGAGGGCAGCACCGAGCAGCAGGTGCGTCTCCCCTGCGCGGCACCGCTCCTCGTGGCTGCAGTGCTGGAAGCGAACCACCGGAGGGCAGCACTGAGCCGGGTTTGTCTTCACACTACCTGTGGATGCACAATGCACGTGCCACCTATTAGTACGTGTGCACTAACTACAGACATTCATATGCGGTTATAGGCAAAGATGTTAGCTGAACAGCTACATCACTGGCGCCATGGGTAGAGACAGAGCGATAACAGGGGCCTGCAGGTAGGGGTCAACAAGGACAGAGGTCAACAGGGGCAAGGAAGTTTGGAGGGAATCAGCATGGGAGGAAACAGCGGCAGGGGGCACCAAAAGTTGGAAGGAGGCTTGGGGGATGCACCTCAAAGCACACAGGCAACTGAGGGTAGCAGGCAACAGCAGCAGCATAGTTTGTGGGCAACAGGAGGTGGAAGACAACAGGAACCACAGTTAGGGAGGCACTCAAAGTCAGGGGGGCAATAGGGGTCAGGGATTAGGGGACAAGAGGTAAGCAGAGCAGGTAGGAGGCAAGGGGAGCTAGAGAAGAACACATACAGGAAGGTTGGGGGAGTCACATGTACAGGGAGCACGACATTTAGATGGGCAACAGGACACAGAAGCAGAGACATGACGGAGGAAAACATGTCAGAGGAGGAAGGGGAGAGTGAACGGGGCAACAGGCAAGGGCAGTTAAAGGGCAGGCAGATAAGGAGGGCAAGGGACAGCAGTTAAACAGCAGGAAGGGTAAAGTCCTTGGTGGTTAAACACTTCACAGGGCCAAGGGACACTGCCATTAAGGGGCTAGGAGTTAAGGGGACAAGGGGCAGGGTGTTAAAGGGCATGGGAGGGGGTTACATGGTTAAGAGGAAGGGGCCTTAAAAGGCATAGCTGTTGGGGGGCGGGGCACAGGCTGGCTGGGTTAGGGCAAAAAATGAAGGGGCCAAGACCAAGGATGTTCAGGGGTCAAGGCTGTGGGGGTCTGTAATAGATCCCCACTACCAACTCCCTTTCACCCCCCCCCTGTAGTCTGACCCATAGCACCTCAATTTGCCCTTCTTCTTGGCCTAGTTTAACTACAGAAGATGTATATTGCTCCTTAACATAGAGAGCAATGCACCCCTCCACACCCTTTTTTCCACACTGTCCTGTCTGTACAGCCTATAGCCCTTAATGTTCACTGCCCAGTCATGGGTAGGATCCCACCAGGTTTCTGTTAGCCTAACCAGGTCGAATTCTTCTGTAGCAGGCTTATTATTTTGGCGCTTGGGTTGAATCCCAGGATCGAGAGTCTGCTATTTGATTGGTGGAGCCCACCCACCAATCTGGAGGCAGCACAAGGGAAGCAATACCCCACCCTTTTCCAAAGGGAGGGGGCAGGGAGCAGCTGGACCTGAATCAGAACTGCGCCATCCAGGTCTGAAGAGTATAAAAGGGGAGCATGCTCAGCAGGCTAGAGGGAGGTGGTGAGGAGAGAGAAGCTCCAGGGATGGCTATCCTCAGGACCCTGGTTGCTTCAGCGGTGCATGAATCAACGCATGGGGATCAGGCTCTCGGAGCCGCTTGAGGCGGCTTGAGCCTATGAACCCAGCAAGCGGCTGGGCAGTCGGTGTGCAGATCGGCAGGTGGAGAGCAGGAACTGGGAGCAGCTCGCAGCTGCTCAGGCCTCACCTGGTGTGCAGGCTGGCGCACGGAGAACCGCTTTGGAAGCAGCTTGCTGCTGCTTACATTAGCCCGGGCCCTAGGATGAGTGACCAGAGCACTGCAGTACAACTCCACTTCTAAGTAAAAGAGCCCTGGTGCCCAGAGCAGGGCCTGGGAAAGGGGAGAACTCCCAGTGTGAGACCGGGGAGTCAGAGCCTGCAAGGGCTTGGCTCCTACAAGAGAGAGAGAGAGACCTGGGTGCCAGGCCATCGAGGAGAGCAGAAGGCACCACTAGGGAGAGGCTCTTGCAGGATCAGCCACCAGGGGACGAGCCTTGACTTCTCCAGAGGGGAAGCATGAGTTGCTGGGGAAGCAGGTCCTGCAAGGGAGGCTGACATGGGTGAGGGGGGCCTGCTACCTCCACCCTCCATTGTGGGAGGGGCGTGTCCACAGTCCAGGGCCCTAAAGGGGAGGGGCTTCAGGGTGTGCGGGCCCTCTCCTGATCCCGCCTGGATCGCCATGTGCGAGCTCTCTCCCGCTCCCATCTGGGTCGCCATGTACGAGCCGGGGGCGAGCCGGGCCCGTCTTTGTGCACACAGGCTGTGGCCAGGAGCCCGGGCACGCGGGGTTGGAGAAAACCGCGGCGCGGTATGGTACGCTCGAGCTAGAATCAGTCACGGAGGCGTAATGGTTGATTGAAAAGATTATTTACTTACACCCCAGGTGGTCGCGGTGTAGGCTGGTCAGCTT